TGAGACAGAGCCTCACTCTGTAGCCCAGGCTAGAGTGCAGTAGCACGATCTCTGCTCACTGCAACCTCTGCCTCCTGGGTCCTGCTTCAAGCAGGAGTTTGAACTCAGCCTCAGCCTCCAGAGTAGCTGAGATTACAGGCACGCACCACCATGCCCCCAGCTAATTTTTGTATTTTATTAGAGGCGGGGTTTCACCATGTTGGCCAGGCTGGTCTTGAACTCCTGACCTCATGATCCACCTGCCTCCGCCTCCCAAAGTGCTGGGGTTACAGGCCTGAACCACCGCACCTGGCTTAAAGCTAACCATTTTTTAGTATGCTTAACAGTCACTTATGCATCCCTTTCTGTGAAATACTTCATATTCTTTACCCATTTTTCTTTTGGGTTTAAGATCAATTATTAATTAATTTGTAAAAGCTCTTTACATATTAGGGAAATCAGCCCTGTTTTTTAGGAGTTGCAAATATTTACATTTTTAAATAAAATGATTTGGTGGCAAAGAGGTTTTTTACTAAATAAATTTTTTGCTAATTTAGCTGTCATCAAGATTGATATCACAGTTCAGTGTCATCCTGTAGGATCTGCAAGACTTGCTCTAATTTACAGAGGAGCTAAATAGACCTGACTCTATCTGTCTTGCTTTTCTAATCAAAATGGAGGAAATAAGGCAGGGTTTGTAATGTCACATATAAACTCATTTGAAATTTGTTCAGAGCTCAGCAGAACCCAGTCTAACTTTGTCGTTTTAATTTAAAATATTTTTTGATTTAGTGGTAGGGTGGTTGGATTGACATATCAAACCAGAAACTTGTAGCATTGTAATTTCTTTCAAGTTACAGTTAGGTTAAATTCTACTTGCTTCAAAAATAGAAGAATTAAGTGAGGCATGGTGGCTTATACCTATAATCCCAGCACTTTGGGCAGGAGAATTAATTGCTCAAGCCCAGGAGATTGGGGCTGCAGTGAGCAGTGATCATGCCATTGTACTCCAGCCTGGGTGACAGAGCAAGACCCTGTCTCAAAAAAAACAACAAAAAACAACCCGGGCTGGTGTGGTGGCTCACACCTGTAATCCCAGCACTTTGGGAGGCCAAGGCAGGCAGATCACAAGGTCAGGAGATTGAGACCATCCTGGCTAACACCGTGAAACCCCATCTCTACTAAAAATACAAAAATTAGCCAGGCATGCTGGCACACGCCTATAGTCACAGCTACTCAGGAGACTGAGGCAGAAGAATCACTTGAACCCAGGAGGCAGAGGTTGCAGTGAGCCAAGATCGCACCACTGCACTCCAGCCTGGGTGACAGAGTAAGACTGTCTCAAAAAAAAAAAAAAAAAAGATGAATTGAATAGTGATGTTGTCAGTGTTACTGGTTTTACAGGTATGCTGTAAGCATCATGTGGGAATTGGATAAAACCTCTTATGAAATTAAGAAAGTGTGGTATGGCAGAACCATTATTCGATCAGCATACAAACTGTTCTATGAAGCAGCCCAGGAACTACTGGATGGAAACTTCAGCATTGTTGATGATATTCCAGAATTCAGAGACTTGGATGAGAAGAGCAGACAAGCCAAGCTGGAGGAGTTAGTGTGGGCAATTGGAAAGCTGACTGACATAGCTCGCCATGTCAGAGCTAAACGAGACGGATGTGGTGCCCTGGAACTGGAAGGGGTGGAGGTTCGCGTACAGCTAGATGAGAAAAAGAATATTCACGACCTCATCCCCAAGCAGCCCCTGGAAGTCCATGAGACGGTGGCTGAATGCATGATCCTGGCCAACCACTGGGTGGCCAAGAAGATCTGGGAGAGCTTCCCTCATCAGGCCTTGCTGCGCCAGCACCCTCCTCCACACCAGGAGTTCTTTTCGGAGCTCCGGGAATGTGCAAAAGCCAAAGGCTTCTTCATAGATACACGGTATTCCTCTTTGAGGGGGCAGAGGAATGGAGGGGCATGTTGTGCATTTCTTTATCTTACAGTCGTTCTTAAAATGTGACAGCCAGATCGTTGACCAAAAAGAGAAAACTTCTTGGCTCTCTTCATTTTTGAAGAGACATTTTTCTCTCTTCATTGATATGTATAGAGACTTTAAACAACTTTATTTAGGCATAATTTTGTTTCTTGGTTTTCTGGGTTTTGTGGGGGTTTCTTGTCTTGTGTGATTTGTTTTTTTTTGTTTGTTTGTTTGTTTGTTTTTTGAGACAGTCTTGCCTTGTCAGCCAGGCTGGAGTGCAGTGGTGTGATGCTGGCTCACTGCAACCTCCACCTCCCAGGTTCAAGCGATTCTCCTGCCTCAACCTCTCAAGTAGCTAGAACTACAGGCACGTGCCATCACAGCCAGCTAATACATTGTTTTGTTATGTGTTTTTTTTAAGAGACAGGTTTCATTATGTTGCCCAGGATGGTCTAGAACTCCTGGGCTCAAATGATCTGCCTGCCTCAGCCTCACACAGTGCTGGGATTACAGGCATGAGCCACCAACCTCAACTCAATATATTGTATTTTTTGTACAGACAGGGTTTGACCATGCTGGACAGGCTGGTCTTGAACTCCTGACCAAGTGATCCACCTGCCTCAGCCTCCCAAACTGCT